CCTTTAGGGCGGCGGCTGCGGAAGCCACTTCTTCGACATCACCGACTCATTCGCGGAACCCATAGCCGTCACACGCGCGGCCGCCTACCCAACCACCTTTCAATACAGCGCCAACATCAAACGCCTCTTCCCCTCGCTCAGCTGGGCCAACATCAAGAAAAACCTCGAGCAATACTCCACCTTCCATACACGCTTCTCGGAGACCCAATCCGGTGCCGACGCCGCCCAGTGGCTCCTCGCCCAAGTCCAAGCCGTCGTCAAAGCAGCCAACAAACCCGGCGTCAGCGCCTCTGCCTTTCCCCACTCCCTCTGGCCCCAAAACTCAATCATTGCCCGCATCCAAGGCCGCTCCAACCGCACCGTCGTCGTAGGCGCCCACCTCGACTCCATCAACTCAGCCAACCGCCTCACCGGCCGCGCCCCGGGCGTCGATGACGACGGCAGCGGTTCCATGCTTCTCCTCGAAGCCCTACGCGTTTTGCTCACCGACTCCGCATTCGCCGGCTCCTCGCCTTTACTCGAGAACACGATTGAATTCCACTGGTATGCCGCTGAGGAAGGCGGTCTCCGTGGCAGTCAAGACATCTTCACGCAGTATAAGAATGCGGGCAGGGATATCTGGGCGATGCTGCAGCAGGATATGGTGGGGTATACAAAGGGGACGCTGAATGCAGGCAAGCCCGAGAGTTTTGGCTTGATTACGGATTTTACGGATGCCGTGTTGAATCGGTATTTGGTGGGGGTTATTGGTGAGGTGAGTTTTCTCCCTCTTTTTTTCTTCTTCTTTTCCATATTTCCTTGTTTCCTCATTCCCTTACGACTCCCCCTCCCCCTGAGAACTTACTTATCCTTCTTGTAAATGGAAGGGGAGAAAAAGGATACATGATATTGATGTAATCTATCTAGTACACCGACATCACCTATGTCAACAGCACGTGCGGCTACGCGTGCTCCGATCACGGGTCTGCCATGCGCAGTGGATACCCTGCCTCGTTCGTCTTCGAGTCGGACTTTCGGTACCGCAATCCGTATATTCATACTCCGAACGATACCATGGAACATATGGATCCGAACCATGTGCTTCAGCACGGACGCTTGGTGCTGGGTTATCTGTATGAGCTTGGGTTTAGCAAGGCCTAGGCGTCTTTTTACAGACGGCTGGCTCATAGTGAAGTAGGGATTAATGTGTAGATGTGAATATGGATATGAAAATTTTGGTGGGTTATGTACATATTTACGAGAGAAAAAAAAACCCCCCGAATTTAATCTTGTTGATTGAAATGTTTGGCCTACTTCTCGGAGAGTATGAATGTTGCTTATCCCAGCGGTTGAGCACAAGTGGGTAAATCATACACAATGTGCCTCATTGTGCCATCTCCCCCGACGTTCGGTCATACCAACACTTATTTCCTTAAAAGGAAATGAAGAGGGAAAGCGTACTGCGAGCAAACTTGGTGAGACAAGGCTCGTTTGAATTTCGAGGTCACGAAAGAACACTGAACAAGAGAACTTGGAGAATGTATTGATGTCTGGCATGAGCTAGATTAAAAGTATGTAGATCAGACCAATGCTTTCAACTCTAGAGAATATTCCTCGTTCGTCAAACGACATTCACATATATGAAACCATTATGTACAGATATACAATTATCTGGTATACGACTTCAACATACTGTATTTCTCATCCGTCTACTATCTGCTCAGTATATTGTGCTCCACTTCCAACACCCTCTAGTACTCGGCCAGTCTCAATCTTCTCCCAATGTTCCTGCGTATCACGTCGCGCTCGACGGGTTCGACTTGTGCTCGGTTGGCATTGAGCGCCTGACGGAGCATACCCGCGTCGAAGAAGCCATCTATGCACAAGAAGAGCAATTATCAGTATAATGAAATCTTTGAAAAAGGAAATCTGCGTTTGGGTGGGGGCGATAAAGAATACGTGAAGTAATGAAGTCTTGTGCACAAATCTTGCAGGACAAATCAAATCGCTAAATCGCAGGAATCTCGAAATCAAAGAGAAAGAACAAATCAAGAAGAATAGAAAATCGGCTTCTTCTTTGCTGCAGACGCTCCCTGCGTCCCCTGCCTCGCTCGCACCGTCTTGAAAACAGCTATCGGCTTCTTCTGTGAGCTCGACAAGACCGCCGTCATGGGCTTGAACGGCGGAGAGTGAGGCGGAGTCGGCGGAAGGTGCATATGTGGAAAAGAAGAAGCAGAAGAAGAAGATTCGACACTTGAGGAATCGCCAAGGGAAAGGGAAGGAGGGGAAGGGGGGGTCCTACATCCACCTAGACCATCGTCTTCTTCGTCATCTGCTACGCTTTCTGAGGGCGTCTGTTGCTTGGCTCCGTCGCCGAGGATGATCCTTCCTCTGCTCTTGAGGCGGGTAGCCAATGGCCTGTCTTCTGCCTCACGTGCGCGTGTGGCCGTCTTGTCAGTAGAAGTACCACGGCGTTTGATTTGTCGTAGTAGCTTGCGGATCTCCAAAAAGTAAGATTCCAGCGCATCGATAAAGCGGCTCGTCTGTCGGTGCTTGGAGGATGCACAAATGGAAATGCTGCCGTCTTTGATGATGTAACCAATACCGAAGCCCTCAGCGGAAGTAGGACCGAAACCGAATTGACGGAGAGACGGGTTTCCACAATTCGAAGTGGAGAGAATTGTCGTATTGATCTTATCCCAGCCAGCATCTGCGAATAGTGCGGGCATCGAGTGCTGCACTGGGGAAGGAGGTGGCGAGCTGGAAATGGATCCGTTATCTGAATGTGTCGAATTACGATTGGGTGAAGCAACACCTGAAGCGTCGGGGCTAGATGGTCGCGTCGAGTCCCACCCATCGCTGCTGGCCACGTCTTGAGACTCATCGATGGCGCGCTGCCATATGCAATACAGCGCATACAGATGCCTGTCCGGTCCCTGGGCCTTTGAACAAATCTTGGTATTCTCCGTGTGCTTTTGGCAGGCTTTACGAAGTGCATCAATCTTTTGGGCCGCTGGGTTTTCGCCCCAGAATGTCTTTAGAAACTCGACCGACTCTTCTGTGACAGATCGAATGGCTTCCGTTCGTCCATGGTAGTAGATCTTAGTCATGGCAGGCTCGTATACACACTCGATCCTTCCATACAAGCCGTAGTAAGCAGCCTGGAAGGCCATCTGGACGAAAGCATCAGGTGAGAAGCCCATCGAGGTCATAAAATTCTTTCCGTAGTGAGGGAATTCGAGGGTAGCAAACTCATTCTGCTGGATAAGGTCTGCTAGGCGTGTCTCGGCGAAACGCAGAGCCGTACCCAGCTCAGGAACCATGTCCCACTCAAGCTTATGAGGCGTAGTTTGAACATCGCCAAAGCTCTCAGGGTCACGCTTCGCGGGGTCGGGACTTGACGAAGCCCACAGACTGGGTGCGCTACCGTTGATGGTTCTGGCGAAGCGGAGAATTGTATCAGTGTATACATCGGAAGCGAATCGAAGGACGGTATGGCCATCAACGCCAGTGTGCTCAAAGTTGATACCTGCGCTTCCGTTCTTGCAGACAATGATCTGCAGTTTGTCGTACCAACGGTTCGTGCATGTTCCGACCTGAACTCCGCGCTCAATCTTGCTTGTACCACAGAGCATGTTCATGCAAAGGTCAGCGCCAGTCTGAGGCTCAGTGTAGTCGAGACAGAGCACAAACAGTGCAGAATCAACAATGTTCAAACAATCGGAATTGTTTGAGCCTTCTTCCCTGTGCAATACGTCACGCAGACCAGCCCACACCTTTCTGTTTTCTGTACTTAGCACGCCTATGGCGCCCTTGGCAGCCTCTTGGATCGGCACTTCTTGCGCATCGTCAACAATCACCTGAAGATTAAGGGCGATATCCTTTTCTGTCATGATCAAGTCGTGGTTGTCGTCCATGACATCGAACCAGTAAATTTGGCCGTGGCACATGACGACGATGTGTTTCGAAGTTGGGTCCTGGCCGATTTGGCATCCATGTTCAGTTGGTATCCTGGCTGTGCCGAACAAACGCGAGTACTGGTACATGCAAAGAGGCTGTCCATGGACGGTGTCAGGAGGTAGCTCCTCTCGACGGACGGCTCGAACGAACGCAAGTGCCGAGACGACCAGTGAAGCTGCACGAGTGACCTGGTTGTTGCGAGCCGGGGTAGGGTCATCTTCCAGTAAGAAGAATGGGTTCAGATTGAGTACGACTGGGTTGTCGAAATTCAGATACGAGTCGTACCCTGGTGGTAGTCAGCGCATGCATGACAACATTGACCAAGACTGAGAGTGCTTACAAAACTGCTCAATGTAGTTGGCTTTTCCACTAGCATACCTCTTCAACTTTTCCTGCAGCACGGGGCCATCGGATTTCAAAAAGTCCTCTACCGCATGCACAGTATCGTTGTACTCTTTTGGTGTCTGGAGAGGCTTGAGGGCGGCAAGATATTTTTTGCATGAGCTGTCGATCTCTGGGATGGGAAGTTTGGGAAGACTATCCTGATGGGCAAAGGTGATGCCTGGCCTCGAGTTTGGGTTGGTGTGGTTTGCTAACGGAGCTTGTGCTTCAGCTGGGTAGGACTGTGTGCTGTTCCTTGCGGATTCCTCCGAACGAGTTGCGGTTGCTTCCTCTTTAGACATGTTGGATGCTTTTTGGAGAGTATCCTCTAGAGACGAAGGCTGGGTAAATTTACGAACTGCCATGGCGAGAAGAGTCAGTTAGGCGTAGAGAGGAGAGATGGAGGTGGCAATGTTGAGATGCCGCAAGGCACTGCGATAGAAGTAGTGGCAGTCTTGAAAACAGTAGGCTGGCATGGGTACTCCGGACTTGTCAAGAGTGTCGCGGTGCATGAGCATGGGCAGGAAGCTCTTATTATAAAAGCCAGGACGGACGGAGAAAAAGAGCACTAGGTCGGGATCCACTTGGCAACTGGGCATGTGAAAGGCTATGCAGCCCAGGGCAAGAGGATACAAGCAGCCAGCCCAAGCAGCCGACCGCCGACTCGGTACGTGACCCGCTTAGGGGCAGACGGGAGGAGTGAATGACCCGAGACTTACCTGGTGGCGCCAACCCGGCCTAGACAGGGGGCCAAAAGAGTATGGAGGTTTGTCCAGATGTGTCGAGTCCTGATGAGCTGGGGCAGTCAATGTGATGCTCTTGTGCAACGACTTACTAGGCAGGTGTGGGCGAGCCGGTGGACTTGGGTCCCCAGGCGCAAGGCGATGAGGGATAAAAAGCCGGAAAAGATCAGCCGCGGGCCAGAAGAGCAAATGGAGCGAGGCAGAGAGAGACTCGGTCGTGAGGATACGGCATGCGCGTAAGGCTGTTATCCCGAGGAGGACTAGTGGGCCTGTAGGCAATCAGGTCATAGAGCCACGGACGAGTGGAAGTATCGGCGGCAGGCTGGGGAGCTTCCACACAGCAACCAAACCCAAGCATGCACAGATGGGGCCACTTATCGAGCGGGTATGTCTGAGGGATGACGGCGACTTGGCCACCGATGGAGAGACTTGGGGCGAGGCAGCTATAGAGCACATGATGCCGCCTTTTCCCCAGGTTTCTCCCATCGTCGTCATGGGAGCTCTTGGTGGGCTGTGGCGGGGGAGATGTGGCTGATGCACGCGACGCCAAGGCGTGGAGAGGCGGGGGGAAATGGCTGTGGCTGTGGCTGGGCTGTGGCGTATGTCATGTTCATGGGAAATCGGAATCGGAATCGGAAATACTATTACATGCTACTCTACATACATAGTAGTACTTCTCTCCTTCACTCTGCAATGACACTAGGCCCATGACGGATCTGCTGCACGTGCTGCCGGACTTTGATGCCACCCCATTCTCCCATCTGCTGCCCTCGCTCGACAAGGCTCTCATCACCACCAATGACGTCCTCACCCTCGACGCGCCCACTATCGCCAAACGCGCCCAGGTGCCCACCGGCGAACTGAGGAAGCTCGCAGATGCCGTGGTTACTGCCCTGCACCGTCAGCTTGGCTTCGGGCCAGAGGAACCTACCCCCACTCCCAAGCACGACTGGGCTTGCATCAGCACCCTTGATGACGAGCTCGATGCTGCCCTCGGCGGCGGCATCCCGCGTGGGTACCTGGTAGAAGTGACGGGTGAGAGGTTTGTCCTGCCCATCCACCACCCCCGTCGCTCCATAGTCGTTGAACTAACCGCTTTCCTAGCGGTGCCGGCAAGACACAGCTGCTTCTGACCCTCCTCTTGGCCTCTCAGCTCAAGCCGCCCCACGGCTTCGCAAAGTCGGCAGTCTACATCTCTACCGAAGCTGTCTTGTCTACCACCCGCCTTGCCCAACTATTGTCCACCCACCCCGCCCTAGTCTCCCTCGCTGATGCTGAAAAACCTTCGCTGTCACGCATCCTCAGCATACAAACCCCCGACCTCGAGTCACAGGAGCATATTCTGCGCTACCAACTGCCCGTTGCTATCAAGAAGCATGACGTAGGCCTTGTAATACTCGACTCTGTCGCGGCAAACTACCGCGCCGAGTTTGACAAGCAAGGCGGGGGAAATGCTGCTGCATCCATGGCACGGCGTGGCACGCAGCTCGCCCAGCTAGGCGCCTTGCTGAGAGAGCTTGCGCGTACAGAGGGCATTGCCATTGTCGTAGCAAACCAAGTTGCCGATCGCTTCACCAAAGCACCGACTGCTGCTTCACGTACCACATCTTCGAATAGTCAGAGCACCGCTACCCGCACCACTTCCACTGGCAGCCAGACCAACGATGCTGTGCCTCCACTACCCTCGCAACAAGACCAAGCCCTCCTTCTCTCGCCAGACCCACTAAGCCTTGACCACCAACAAGCCTGGTTCACCGGCTGGGGCGACTCGCCCTACGAGCAACTGCATGTCCAAAAGACACCTTCACTCGGCCTCGTCTGGACAAACCAAATTTCATGCCGCATCGCGCTTAAGAAGCAACCCGTGTTTGCAAGCAGACCGCTTATCCACACGGTCAATGGCCAGGATGAGTGGGCCGACGAAGAGCGTCACATTTCCAAGTGGCGACGCTGGTTCAAGCTTGTGTTTGCGCCTTGGGCCCCGCCTTCGTTGGGACGCGGCATCGAGTTTGAGATTCAAAAGAGTGGCATTAGACATGTGGTCAAGCAAGGGAAACAAGTAGCATTGGCCTGAGCATTGGAGCATTGCATTATGTCTGATTTGAATAAATCTTCTTGAGTTTTAGATCATACTAGACATGTCAATGCCATGATGCCTTTATGTCTTTATTTCTAGAAAGCGTCTAATAAAACACGTATCTATTCCTTCGAAGAAGAAAGTACCTTTTCCACCCATTCCACTACCATTGCTAGTAGATACCGACCGTCCCAGCACAAAAACGTTTCAAAAACCTATCAGAATGTAAAAAAAGAGAGAGGTTCAGTCTCCACACAAAGGATTATTGTACATGAATCTTGCCCTGGAAACGTTCCTATCAAACCCATTCCCACTAAACCCATAACCTCATCCTTGCCTTTTCCTTATCCTCCCCCAAATACTCCTTCCTTCTCAGAGCAGATCCTTGAAACGCCCCAAAATCCATCTTAGTCCGTAACCTTCCAGCTGTCGAGCCACTTGAGATGCCTCCACTGGCTGCTAGGGCCCACCATACCAAACGAGATGGCGCGGAAGAACCAGTACAGGCCAATCACAAGCACGTACAACGCCGTGAAGATGCCCCACTGCACCTGCTTGGGCAGCTTCCTCGTGCTAAAGTCGAGGCAGAAGCCCATGACCAGAATGGCAAACCACAGCGCCGGGTAGTAGTGGTGCACGTACGTCACACGGCCCATGGCCACAAACGGCACATAGTGCAAGAACCAGCCGATAATCGGGTATATGCCCGCATAGTGAATCTGGTCAATCTCCCACTGCTTGAGGTCGTCGTATCCGCGTTGCCATCGCACCAGGTAGAAGAATACAATCAGAACAAAGATGCCCAGCGAAGCAGTGCTGCCCCAGTAAATCGCTGGATTACCGAGCAAAAAGTACTTGACGACTATTGCCATGTTAGTGAATTACCAATAGGAAGAGAACATGTCCACACTTACTGTCATCATTCCAACCGCACATGCGAAGACCAACGTGGAGAATGGGCCATTGCCAAAAACTAGATGCAAGGTCGTCTTGCTTATCAGGGTCAGGAACCAGTGCATTGTTCGACGTCATCATGGCAACGTTGAGATGGATAAAGTCCTGTAGGAAAGGGGATTTGTAGTCGCCGGGGTTACCTGGCGGCAGTCTTTCGTTCGTATGGCTTTCAATGTTCCAGTGTGTGTAGACATCACGCGGGCTGTTCTGTTTCGTGCAAGTTGTCTCAATTTGTTTGAATCCCCACTGGGGCAAGTTGACGTTGCCAGCGCGGAGGTAACAGCCGAGATCCTTGTGTCTGAGACGGAAGGCCGTGGTGAGCGTGCGGAGCCTCGAGTGATCCCTGGAAGAAGCGTCGCGGACTACCTCAACAACCCAGTGGTCCTTGGTATCTCCAACAGTCGTGTTGCCGTAGCAAGAAACCTCCCAGTCACTCTTAGTAACAGGAGCTGCGACTTGATGCGAGTGGAGGTTACGGCCGGTCTGAGCGTGGATAAGACGGATGACATCGCCATTGCCGGGGAATCGGAGCTCTTCGTCCGGCTGGTATGGGACCTCGTGGCGGTTGGGATAGAAGAACCAGTCGTTGTTGGCGTCCTTGTGGTGGTAGCAAGTAATCTGTTGTTGCCCAGAGCCCTCAGGATACGTCTGAACGTGAGAGTGCAGCAGTCCACCACCGTATCCCATGTTCTTCAGGGTGGCACGAGAGCCATACGCGATCTCCAACGGGCTATCCTTGCCAACCTGGGTTCCTCTCAAATTTGCCTGGAAGAGGGAGCTCATCTGGGCGTCACCGGGTCCGCTGTTTTCGAGGATAATGAAGTGAAGGTAGAAGGAGAACATGTAGACGGCGAGCGGAATGAGTATAAGACTGAAAACTCGGAAAGCAAGGTGCATGGCAAGTTCAACCTGGGAACATCAGCGTGATTATACAGCAAATGGTCATATTACATACCTTGGGCATCTTGAGGTCGCCAAACTTGTGCCAGAGATCTTCAGCCGTGTACAGTCCTACTAAGGCGGTGACAAAGAAGCCAACCCACTTGACACTGCACACACATCCGATTGAAACACCAGTCAACATGAGCCATAGACCCCATTCTGGAGAGAAGGGATCGTTGCGCAGGCGGTGAAACTTGGACCAGCAGAAGACGGTTGTGAAGGTAAAGCAGAGAAGCATCGAGTCGAGAAGAATGAAGCGACTGATTGTAGTATACGAGTTCTCGCAAAGAACAGCCAGTGTGATGAACCATACAGTCGGCCTGCGGAAGTTCAATTCCCTCGCGGTGAAGTATGCCAGCGGAATACAGACAGCGCCAAAAGCCGAGTTGAAGAGGCGCATAAAGGTGTAGTCGAGTTCCTCGGGGTATTTCTCTCCCGACTTGAATTCAAACGAGCCATTGTATCCTGCAAGGTATCCAGATAGACCAACAAGCATTTTGCCGAGCGGGGGGTGGACATCGAAATAGAACTCGCGCTTGAGGTAGTGTGACCCGAACTTGCCAAAGCTGCCTGTGGTCAGAACCTGGTTCGCATACGTGATAGTAGATGTGCTTACTGGGCCTCGTCCCATGTCACGATCGGTGATAGACCAATCTTGTACATGCGCGTGAAGAAGGCGAAGAAAGTAAATATCAGAGGAGCCCAGATAACCTCATACTCGTCAAGTAGCGAGATGATGCTGAAAGGCTGTGGCTAAGTTAGCAAGGGACTCGGCGGCCGTCATTTTGCAGGCAGCCGTAATGCCACATGTACAGGATGCCATACCTTATCCTTTGACTTCTCCTTGTCCGGCACTTGTATCGTTGGCGGCGCGGAGGCATCTTGTCTTGTTGCTACATTTCTCCTGCGAAGCTCTTCGGCTTGCGCATCAGCACCCGTTGTGTGGGCGGTTGACGCCATTGTAGGGAGCGGCTTTCCGGTCTATGATTGATGAAGGATATCGTCGCTGGGTAGCGTAGGAAGACTGAAAGGGACCCGTGGCTTCAAATACGAATTGGGGGGGATTCAACGAGTAGTCGGTACCACAGGAGCTGCACGACCGCTCGGTGCAGCCGTACGCAAGCAGGTGGACTCGAGGAAAGGCAATCGAATTAAAGTGGCCGTTGGGCCGTACGATGAGAAGAAAGGCCCACGCAGAATGAGGGCATAAGAGGCGCAAAGAAGAAAAGGTCGATGGACCAGAGTCGCAGTGCTGCAGAATCGAGGAGGTGGGCTGTCCCGAATTGGATCTACGAGCAAAGGGAGCTAGCCGCCCGAGTGCAAAGGGAGAGGCGACACTTGTTCACTTTGCTCTCTCTCACACCCAGCCCCCATCACATGAAAGCCACAATCCACGCAGTCTAGACGCTTCTGAACTCATGGCCCTCGTTTCCGTCAACATGTCGCAATGATCCAATGATTGCTCTGCAGAGTGAACGAGTGGTCAAGTTGAGTTGGTTGCTACTATTCTGGGAGCGGGCCTAAGGAGATGGCACTTGCGCACGTCACCAAACTCAAATCCCAGTCGCAAAAGATGATCAAAGCCAGGGTATGTATATAAAATATAGTAACCCTCGGTGTATACGGCATGTACATCCTAGGCGTCCACAAGTTGATATAATCTTGACAACACAATTTGAAACCCAGACAAAGAAGTCCTAGGGCCCCTCTGTTATCCAAGTTGCATATGTATAGAGAA